CGTACTCCGCATTGCAGCGCAGGATCTTGCACTGAGAGTGAGCTGGGGGCAGACGCGGGAGGAGCGAGATGGTGCCCAGAGCCCTGCTCTATCGGAGTTTGCCACCCCCCCCCCCATCTCATCAGGAGATGCCAACCAGCCCCCAGCTCCCTAGTGCTGTCCTCGCTCAGTTTTGCTAAAATGGATGAGCCCGCTATAGCTCTTCCCGTCCCCAAGCGGAATGGGAAATAGTATGGACCTGCTTGAGAGTGGGGGTGACCCCTGGCACCCATTCTTCTCACTCCCTCATGCTCACATGCCCACCCTCGAGAGCAGCCTGCCTTCTAGGCCCCCCACACCCTTCCCTAGCCCCTCCTTACCATATCCACAGAGGAGCAGCAGGAGAGTGAGGGTGCTTAGAGTCGGGGGACTGCCATGGGGGGCCCGGGGACTAGGGCACTGGCCAGGATCCCCCATACCTATCCAGCCAGGTCCCCGCAGGCTCCAGCTCTTCCCAGCGGATGGCTGTCCTACCTAGTGGACGTTGGCTGGCCGTCCTGTAAGAGACTGGGCGTGGGGAGAGAGGAACGTCGAAGGCTGTTCTGGATGATGTGAAGGGAATGTGGGAAGGTCAAGAAAAGGGCACGCAGGCCGGAGTTTGGGGAGAAGGGGGCTCCCTGAACTGTGCGTGTGGCGGTTAGACCTCCGTGCCCTGCTCTGTGGCCACTTTCAGATCCCTTATGCAACACCCCTGGGCGGGGGTGGAAGGAAGGTTGAGTGGCCCCGGGGTGGGGTGCAGAGTCCACTGTGTTGCCCCATTCTGAGCTACCAAAACAGCAGAAATGTCCAAAACGGAGGAGTCATGGGGACAGATCAGATCCAACCGTTCCAGTAGGTTCCCCAATAGAATTATAGGTTTCCCAATGGAATTATAGATTCCCCAATGGACTTAGGATCTGAAAAGTGCTTCAGAAACATACCTCTTATTTGCCTCTCCCCATCAGGAGGGAACACCAGGGGTCGTTCTTTCTTTTTTACCCCCTTTGGGTTAGAATTTTGAGCAAGAAGGAGTAATGGCAGAATACCCATCCCTCAATATTCAAATAAAAAGGGGAGCTGATTTCTTTTCATCTGTTCCAGAGAGCTGCAGTTATAGCCCCTCTCTCATCGGATAAGTGAGTGCAACCCACGCACACACAACAACACCTGCTGGCACGGAGTCCACAGCTCTTGAGTATTTCCAAACCTGGCTGAGGAATCACTTTTCCCGTTAACCTTCCCTTTGCAAACTTAGAAGTTCTCAGTCTCTGGACGAGGAGAGGACTTGGGGAGGGGCCTGCCTCCCCTGGGGTAAGGGTACGCCTGGGGGGACGGGCACAGGAGGGAGAATAGGACCGCAGGTCTGGAGTTGTGGGGAGAAATCATTTTTGACGAGCAGTGGCCACCATCCTTGGAAGCCCAATGCGAAGGGCACCGCTAAGCGGGACGGGGTAGACGAATGTCATGACTAATCATGTGAGGCTAAATTTGGCCTTGATGAGAAAACCACAGACTCAGGACGTGGGACACTCCTGCTAAGGAAGGCGGCCTCCTCCGAAGCCTGAAGGGGACCAGGTGAAGAGAGAGCTGAAGCTGCCCGAGGGGAGCCCGAGGCTCAAACTTGGAGTGGCTCGAGGCCAGAAAGAAATCAGACCGAAGGAGGAATGCAGATGGGGGCACCTTAGCCTGGAAGAGATCGTAGCTTTTGGACCAGAGATAGCTGCTGTAATTCTGTGAAAGTCTCACTTCAATCCAAAAGCGTATTAAAGGAATTGCAATTTCATTTTGACTTACTGTTTCCAGAGGCCAAACATTACTCTGACATCCCGTTCTCCGGCCATGACTGCCTACTCTGTTGGTCGGCTCCAGCCAGGGGATCCCCCGTCTCTTTCTCCATGTCTCCCCTAGGCCCCCAGGCCTGCTGCAACCTCAGTGAGGTCAGGGAGCCAGAGAAGGGCTGGTGTGGGGGGAAGGGGGAGTATATGGCTGGCTGGGGCACTGGACAGCTGAGCGGGGGAGGGAGGTGGCTACTGAGTTGACTGTTTTAAAAATAGCTAAGTCCAAAATTCCAGGAGCGTTGATGGGGGTAGGGTGTGGGAGTTGGGAGGGCAGGAGGATTAGAAAGAATGTGGGGTGTAGGGTGCCAAGTAGGGGAGGGCGAACCGAAATATGACAGGCAAGTCAGATATCCAATTCCAGTTTCTAGGACTCTAGTCACTGCCTACTCCAGGCAGCCCTCCAGTATGGTCACGAATGAGCCCCCGGCCTTTAAAATGAGAGCGGGCAATTATGTGCCTCTCGTTCACCGCCCTCATCTCCGCTGTATTGACTATTGCATTTCGTTTCTACAGAACATACCTAGCGGGGAGCTGACTTTAAACAGGGTCCAAATCGGATGTAGCTGACAGCCCTCCCCCATCTTTGCAGACTATTTCAGAAGGACCGAAAAAGCCAGCTGCCCAGAGAAGAAATCTGAGCTCTAAGTTGTTTAGGATGAGAGTTTCAGTCTCCCAGTTCAGATCCTTGCAGCTGTCCATCCCCCTACTACCTCCATTTTCATACAGCAATGTCTCTTCCTTCCCTCGCACCAACACACACACACACACACACACACACACACACACACACACACACTCCTGAGTACCTGTAAGAGGTTGGTTCTAATCCGCTTATCTGGGGGTGGAGGGAAACCAAGGCAAAGAAGTGAAGAAAGACTGGGGATAGAAGTTTTTGACAGTTACTAACCCCCAAGGGAGGGGCACTTGGAGAGATAAACAGAGAAAAAGAGACTCAGAAGGGTACTTTTGTGGAGTAACACAATCCTTGACCTTTTAAAATATTGCAGCCGAGGACTTTAGCCATGCCGTATTTCTGCAGCCATCGGCTTCTGGGATCATTCACCTCCTAGTACTTGCCAAGTGAAATGAACACGGCTGATTCCAAACTGGGTCACTAAGGCATCTGCATTAATTGGCTCTACATTTAATTCAGAGTCTAGAGGCCCATAAGGACCCTTCTCTTTATTATACAAATATTTCTGAAAATTGTAGTTTTTCCCATGACCACACAAGGCCACATCATAAAGGCTTTTATTACCAAACTGTAAAATGTCCCCAACCAAACCATTCAAGTGACTGTAAAACAATAATTTGACCATGGCTCCCAAGTGGAATATACTCTAAGGACAAGAAGAAGTGCAAAAATGTTTTAAAGTAGGCGTATGGTTGGTGTGGGAGTGTTAGTATTGTTGTTCTGAAACTATTGTGTATTGTGAGGTAAAACAAATGAGTGTTGAATATCAGTGTCTTTGTGAAACAGGATTTTTGGTGTAGAACAAAGGTACAGATTTAGTTGATACAGTTAAAGTAAAAACGCTATAATTCTGCATTTCAATTGGAAGTATAACTTGGAGCTCATGGTGTTTTTATGCCATTTCCTAACTTTATCTTTAAAAGGCCTGGAAACAATGACCCATTAGCAATGAGCATGCTATTGTTCAAACTGAGCTATCTCAATACCATTTCCCACTAAAGGAACTCCTTGGAGAAATGACTAATTTCAGGTATGGGGGAGGAATTTTCCAAGATAAGCAAGGAAGCTTTCAAAGACTTAAGATTGTATCAAAAGGAATCAGAAGCTACTAGAATAATTCTACTGGCCAAAGATAGGCAATTTGAGTGTCAAAATGAACAGTATCTACAATGAATTTAAACATATTTGATGTGTTTAAATATTCTTAAATCTGAGTTCACAATGATACTTAATTGTAGTAAAGTACACATAGCATAAAATTTACTACCTTAACATTTTAAGTGTACAATTTAGTAGTGTTAAGTACATTCATATTATCGTGATCAATAAAAATATATATATTAAAAATTAAAGCATATTATTGTGCAGCCAACCTCCAGAACTCTTTTTGTCTTGCAAAACTGAGACTGTATTCCCATTAAACATAAATTAAAGTTATTTTGAGGTAATTATAGCTTTATATGCATTTGTTATGAATAATAGAGAGAGAGAGATCTGAGTGTTCTTTACCCAGCTTCCTCCACCCTTGCCTCCAGTGGTAACATCTTGTGAAACTATAGTACAACATTACAATGAAAATATTGACATTGGTACATCAAGCTACAGGGCATTTCCATTAGAAGAATACCTCATGTTGCCACATCCCCTCCTTAACATCTAGTAATAAACACGTTATAGTATGCAACCTTGAGGATTTTTTTTTTTTTAGAGAGAGAGAGAGAGAGAGAGAGAGAGAGAGGTGGAGAGATAGAAACATCAATCAGCTGTCTCCTGCATGCTTCCTACTAGGGAGTGAGCCCAAAATGGCAGGCAGGTGCCCTAATTGGGAATCCAATTGGCAACCAATCACTAGCTTCTCTTTTCATCCTCATAACAGGGTCTTTTGCAGAGCAAATGTGTTTTAATTTTGATGAAGTTTATTTTATCAGTTGTTCCTTTTACAGAGAATGATCTTGGTGTCAAATCTTTGTCTAGCTCTTCTAAAAGTTTTATGCTTCACATTTAAGTTCGTGACCTACTTTGAGTTAGTTTTTTTTTTTAATGATTTTACATGTTTTTTAAAAATATATTTTATTGATTTTTTACAGAGAGGAAGGGAGAGAGATAGAGAGTTAGAAACATCGATGAGAGAGAAACATCGATCAGCTGCCTCCTGCACATCTCACACTGGGGATGTGCCCGCAACCCAGGTACATGCCCTTGACCGGAATGGAACCCGGGACCTTTCAGTCCGCAGGCCGACGCTCTATCCACTGAGCCAAACCGGTTTCGGCATTGAGTTAGTTTTTGTATAAAGTCTGAGATCGAGGTTAAGGAAGCTTTCAAAGCTTTTTTGTTTGTTTGCTTATGAATGTCCAATTTCATCAGCAATGTATATATATATGTATATTTTTTATTTATATTTATTTATTTATTTATTTATTTATTTTATTGTTTTTTTACA